CCAAGAGCTGATGTCCTCAGGTGACCCTTCGTCATGGGTACCTGGAACCCTGAGCCTACTGACAGGTCTTGGGTGAGTCAGGCCAACATACACTCATAGGAGCCTCCAAAGGACCCCAAGTACCACCATTCCCAGTCCCCTGCAGGGACCACAGCCACGAGGACAGACAGAAAACCTGGAAGCCAGAGCAAAGCTAACCCACACCGAAGACCAATGGCTGGCTTGAAGCTCCCCTATGTCCCATCACTGGAGTGAGACACTAGTGGAGGGTTACCCTGGGAAAGAAGCAGAAGAGTCCCAAGATGGAGTGCTCCATCACTACCAGTGCCAGTCCAAGGGCTCACATCCACTGGCCACTTAGAGACCAGCAAGAGAAGGGTTAACTCAGTGGTGGGGTTCTTGGTTCAGGAAAAAGGAAATTCCCCTCTGTACTTTCCAAAGACAATCTTCCAAAACACCCCAGTGTCCATGTCCTCTTTTTGGGCAGGGAAAGCCCAGGAGCGGTACTGCCTGGAGGCAGGTGCCAGGGCTAAGTGGAACAAGAGTTCCGGGCCATCTCAGGACATTCGCCACTCTCCCCCTGGAGGCCCACAGTCCTCCAGCTCCAAGTGTTCTCTTCTTAGGGAAGAGAGCTGCTGGGAACCCACGGAGCTCCTCCCAGTGACCTACCCAGGTCTTCAAGGTACACAGTGAGGCTCAACACCCATGTCTATTACAGAGAGTTGCCCCAGCTCCAGGCCAGACTGGATGCCTATGCCACAGAAAGTCGGGAAATATACAAACAGCTGGGGCCATTCCACCTCCACCCTACCAGACCTTCTGCTGGGGTAGTCGTCTAATCTTTGCCAAGCCTGCCAACTGACTGCCCGGGCAAACTGTGCCCTCCGGCTCCAGCCACAGGCAGCAACAACATACACACGGTCGGCCCCAGTGGTGTGTGGTATAATTCATGTGTGTGCCTTGCTTGCCTGCTAGGTGACTAGAACCTAATCCACCTCTATATAGATACTTGTACTTCATCTGTGTGTATACACACAGGTGTTCATACACATGCGTGACCATGCATGAAGGCCAAAGGTTGACGCTGGATGTCTCCCTAAATCGCTCTCTATTTTACGTTTTTTTTGAGTCAGTGTCTCACTGAACCCGGTTCTCAGCAGTTTGGCTAGTGGGCAAGTTAGCGAGCCCCGCTGATCCTTGTCTCCACTCCCCCAGCACTGCACATGACGCAGCCATAATACAGGGTTTTAGTGATGGAACTTAGTCCTTGTGTCCGCACAAGATCCAACTTCACCAGCAGAGCCGTACTCCCCACTGTCAGATTCTCTGTACCTCAGATGGCACCCACACGGAAGCCTCCAATTCAAAATGACGTCGGGTTCTTGCCCCTGCTGAACATGGTGTAATTACTGGCTTCTCTGGTGTCACCAGCCACCCTCCTGGAAAACGTGATCGCGATGGCTACAGCACCCACTGTCCCCCCAACAGGTCCTGTGAGCCAGACAGTCTTCAGTTATCTCCGAACACAGCTGATGCTCTCGTAAGTCTTACAGGAGAATCCCTTTCCTCGCCCTATTACATAAGGAAAGTAAGGCACAGAGATGTGAAGTGTGCTGCTGAGGGTCACAGAGCTCGGACAGGAACTCTGCTACAGGCCCCTACAGAGCTGTGTTCTTTACATCTAAATCGAGGGAAGGCAGTCAGGTGTGAGGCTATCAGGACACCCTGCGGAGGAAGCCCTGCAAGTGACAAAGGCTGTCACTCAGCTTTTTCTTTCCCAAGTCCCAGACAAAGGCCTGAGCAAAGTGGCAGAGCCAGCTGCAGGGAAGGGCCTGCAGTCCCCGCTCCTGGGTCCATCCCTATGCCATGCTGGCCACAGGAAACATGAAAAGCCTGTCTCCAAGCGCTTTGCTCTGAGCCAGGGAGAGGCAACGCTGCCCACCGGGAGGCCAGAACCATGATTTGGGGCTATTCTTAGCGAGTCACTGGCTCCCCTCCCAGAGGCCCAGCAGGCAGAAAGCCCAAGACTCCACACGCCCAGCCTGTCACTTCCTGACCCTTTTTCAGAGAACCCTAGGACGAGGAGGGGCTATGGGCAGAGAGGGAGGACAGAGGGGGCTGCCACTTCCAACAGAGATGTGCCCAGTGCCTACATGCCCTACTTGCCCAGGCTCCTAGCCAAGCACCTGCTTTGCCAGAGAGTCTCTGGGCTGTCCTGGTTGCACCCCTGCTGTCTGACGGAAGGTCACTAACTTTCCATGAATTGTCCCCCATTTAACCCTCCATGGAGCTGAGGTTAAGGATGAGGCAACTGAGATGTTAAGTAACCGTGGAAGGTCACGCAAGCATTCGGTGTCATGCTGTATCAGGGTCAGGGCTGGCTCCAAGGTGCCAGGCTGGGCAGAGAAGCCAAGAGAGCAGCCAGAGCGTGGGAGACTCTGCTCTGTCCAAGTCAAGGGAAACAGCTTTCATCCCAGACCCTCCACATACTTCCCAGTGGTACACAGAGGCAACCGCCTGAAGGCGCAAGGATTTCAGTTAAGTTCAACAGAGAAGCCATGAGCCAGACTCTGGCGCAGGCAGCAGCTGAAGCAACACACAGTGCAACTGGGAGGATCATGAAAGTCCCGGAGAGACAAAAGAATGCCACCAAAGGCTGAAGAAGCTTCTGCGGGTGCCCCAGGCAGACACTCAGACCTGCAACTGAGGGGACAGGCCTTCAGAGTAAAACCACTGAATCCTTTGGTTTTATCCATCCCCAAAATGATCTAGAAATAAATCCACAGTGGGGCTGGGTCTCAGTTGGTAGTGTTTGCCTAGCATGCACGAGGCCCTAGATTCCATTCCCAGCACCCTATAAACTGGAGGTGGTTGTGCATGCCTGGAACCTTAGCATCCAGGAGGTAGAGGCAGGAGGATCAGGAGTCTAAGGCTATCCTTGGCTACACCTTGAGTTCATAGCTAGCCTGGGCTACACGAAGAAAGAAAGAAGCCATACCACCACCCAGCACCTGAGATTCTGTCCCTCCACACCAAACAAGATGATGCCTGGCTAGGCTGCCATACCCATAGCAACATTCACCTGGGACCACACCTCAGCATCTGCAGCCATCAAGATGCTAGCCTTGATTAGCAGGTGCCTCTGGCCAGTATGTGTGTTTCCCTGAGGGCCACAGCTGGCTCCACGTCTACCTAGGTACTTGAGAACCTTGAGACTCAGGGTCTTGTATCTACAAACGTCCATTCCAATTCGTGTCTGTTCTTCAGTGAGCCCACTGTCTGCCCATTCACACACCTGCAATCCCAGGGGGACAAGCCTGTCTATAAGTGTGTCTGTGGCTAGTCTTCTTGAACATGCTCACACACACACCTGTCCCCTCAAGTGCCCATGCCTTTTTGTGCCTGTTCTCAGGTAAACATGTCCAGTTCTTCCCTGTGTCTGCCCAGATGTTATACACCTGACTATGAGCACACGGTCCACATGTGCCCTCCCACCTGTGACTGGGAAGCTCCCACTAGAAAGACAGCGCCAAGGTCTTGGACACTGGTACACTGCCACCTCCCCAAAGTGTTGTAGGAAAGCAGAGGTCTATAAGGGACGATAGGGACTGAGCAGAGTCCCAGACACTGCAGGGTCTCACAGGTAGGGTCAGAGTTGCCCCAGGCCTCACCCTGTCCACTCCAATACTGGAGAAAAGAGCAAAGTGGGCCACCTCAGGCCTGTCTGCCCTCACAGGAAACCGCGTCTGGCCAAGGCCTCTCACCCTCCCCTCCAGTCCCCACGATGAGGCTCTTCAAAAAGGAAGTCAGGGTTTCCTCCCGTAAGGAGCAGCCCCAGACTTGTGCTCCATTTGAGTGGAGAAAACAAATGGGTCCTTAGACCCCCCAAAGCAAACAAAATCTGGGGTGGGGGTGGACACACACAAGCAGGAAGTGTTGCAGGCCCTCCTACACTTGCCGGCCCTTGAGGTGGAAAGAGGTCCTGGTACAGCTAACAAGGAGGGCGGGACTGACTCTGCCAGGACCCTGAAACACATCTGTGTGCAAAGTCTCAGGACAGCCCAGCCAGTACCCTTGCAGTACTGGTGTTTTGTAATTCCCATGAGTAGCCTCTTGGCATTTTCTTCTACTGCTACCAGCTCAGGGCCGCTATCACACTCCCTATCGGAGAACTGGCCAGTGTGTTTCTGTCTCGTCTTCCCTTCCAGGGCAGAGCCACGCGAGGACAAAGTCCTTCCACGTCCTCCCACCTCCCACACTGTCTGGGTATGGCTCAGAGCCCACAACTCACAGGTGCTCTGCCACTGGCTGTGAGCAGCCAAGGACTGGCGGGGGCTGTGGCTGCCAGAGCAGAGATGCCTCAAGCCTGCCGGGACCGGGAGACTTTTGCAGCGTCTGATTTCCAAAACAAGAGCACTCTGGCCACTACAAGAGCCTGGAACAGTCAGTCTCCCGTGCGCTGTGCCTTCTCTGAAGAGTCCATGTCCTTCCAGGGGGTCCTCTGAAGCTTGATGAGAGGAGGTCAGATGGACACACACCACACATGCACAGGCACATGAAAACACACACTCTGCATGCACACGCTAGCACCCAGGCTCAGAAGAGACCAAATAGAGCAGAGAATCAAAGCCTGTGCCTGCCAGGCCCCTGAGTTTGCTCTCTTGTCCCTGGGCCTCAAGGGCCCAGAAAATAAGTCCGGGGACCCCATAACCGGATCGCGACCCGGTTATGTCTCCTAACTTCTTAGGAAGCTCAGCTGGCCGGGAGGACTTCCAGGCCCGGCAGTGAGGAGAGGGTATTGCCAGACCACGTTGTCTCAGCTCCGGGAGAAGCCAGGGTACAGAGCGGAACCCGGGATTGACCTGCGCTCGACCCAGGAGCAGCACGGGCTTTGGGAGAGCACGGTGGCGCCGGCCTGGGGCAGGCCTGGGTATCCCGGACGCCTCCGCCCCAAGTCAAGGGACCCCGATCTGCCCTCGGCACAGCCCACGCTTGCTTACCTGGCAGCCGCAGCGCTGGGGGAGCGTCGCGCTCTGCGGCCGGGGACTGCCGGCGCCGAGGCGGGCTGCCGGCGCGCCCGCGCGGGCTCCAGCTAGCTCCGCCCACCCTCCCGGCCCATCCGGGGGCGGAGGCAGCTCCCGCAGAGTCCAGGCAGGGCAGACCCCATCAGCCTGCGGCCACCAAACCCCGGATCAACCCCGGAGCCCCGCCCCGAATCCGGATTCCCCACCCCACCCCAACGCCCGGGCGGGACCCGTCATTCTCTTCCCAGCCTGTCCAGCCGCAGCTTCGGCCTCCGCCCCACGGGGAGGGGGCGCGAACTTAAAGACACACTCACCCCACCGCGTCCCTATAGGCATCCCCTGGCCTCAGCGGCAACTCCCAGAAAACTCCGTTCCGGGCCAGCTTCTTCCGTCTGTCTTTTGCTCCTGGAGAAAAAGTCGGGGGCGGGAAACACTGCCCGCGAAGCCAGTTCCTCTTTCCTTGTCGGCTCCGCTCCTTCTGGAAGATACCTAAGGCTGGCTTCCAACCTCCTTGGCTGGAGAAAGCGGCACAGGCTGGTGGCGCCACACCCCCTCACCAACTCCAGGTCCCCAGATATCGGTAGTCCCTGGCTTCCACCTGCCCTCTCTGCTTCTCCAGACCGTGCCAAACACCTGGGCTCCAGAAAAGGCCTTTGTCCTGTGCAACTTGAGATAGGGGACTGACGTCTCTGGGTTTCAGCCTCTCGAGATGTCCAAGGACGGGCCCCTTTAAAAGCAGGTTGTTAGTTTGATGGTGCCTTAGGAAAACTACAGCCCCCAGTCTTTGAAAGAGGAAGGGTCCCACTGCCCCTACCCGATGCCTCCAAGTGGTGGGTAGCTCTGATGAGCTCTGGGTTCAGACCTGGGCAGGCTACCTGACCCTTGGCCTGGAGTCGCCTTAGTGCGGTTGCTCACCTCTGCTTCTGTCTCAGGAGACCCTTTTATGTGTGAGTGAGTCTCTCATATCTCTCTCTCTCTCTCTCTCTCTCTCTCTCTCTCTCTCTCTCTCTCTCTCTCTCTCTCTCTCTTTCTCTCTCTCTCTCCCTAAACTAAGAAATCTTTCCTCACCTGCCTCTACCTCCCTTGGCCAGTCTAAGATTATAAGGGTCCTTAGCGCACTAGGCAGGAAGTTGTGACCAGGATGAAGACAACGCAGGCCTGGCCTCTATCCACAGTCAAGCCAGAGGACTTACAGCCCTAAAAGGATTCATTGAGGGTGATCTGGCCAGATATCCAGCACATCTGTGGTGGTGTCTCATCTGTCTAATCTTAGAAGGTACCTATCACTGTTATAACGGTTTTGACTCAGGGTCTCATATATCCCAAACTGCCCTTGTTCCATATTTATCTAAGAATAACCTGGAAATTCTGATCCTCCTCCTGAATTCTGGGATTATAGGCACGTGCCATTGTTCTGGTTTCTGTAAAGCTGGGGATCAAACCCAGGTATCCCTGCATGCTAGGCAAGCAAGCACTCTACCAATATCCCCAGCCCTCAATATCCCTATGTGAAGGCATGGGGAAACTGAGGCCCAGGGATGACCTGCCCTCTATTTCAGCCTCCTTCATGCCCTCCTAAGGTGTGTGAGAAAGAGAAAAAGAGAAATCCCGAAGAGTCACCTGAGAAGGACACCCCATCTTGACTCCAGCCAAACTTTGCTCAGGTTAGCCTGCACTTTCTAAGCTGTGCTTTGTGGCCCGAGGAAGGTAAACTAAGCTCTCTGATCTCCACCGTCTTCACATTTGGGAGAGGTGTTTGGGGAGTCATTGAACTAGGGACCTGAGACCCAAGGACACTGTGTGGTATGCTCTCAGGTTCCATCCTGGTCACAGCATTCTTGCTCACTACTCTGTCACAGCTCCATGTCCTGTCCCCCCTCCCCAAGTACTAAATGGTGTCCCTACAGGCCTGAGGACACATTTCAGGACTGTGTGCCCTCAAGGCTCCATAACCAGGCCGGTGCAAACACATAGTATAGAATGCATACATACACAAACATGTACAGTGCCACTCACTGTCTAGAAGAAACTGAACCCTTGGCTGTCTACCTCAAGACAGTGCCTGGGAATGCCAGAGCATGTATGACCTGTCTTTGGTCCCCAGCATATGCTTGGCACATCTCCACCCAGTGAATATACATCCCTCACACACATCTCTGCTGTTGTTGAATCCAGCAGAGAAGCCCTGTGTGGAGACCTGCAAAAAACAGCTGTAATCACAAGCCTTCTGACTCTAACTGACAACCTCACAGCTCGGTGGAAAGGCTTCAGGAGCAGGGACTCAGAGACTTGGAAGCGCCTCAGGGACAGGCCACAGACTGTGCAAGCCTCAATGCCCAGTCTTAAGCCTTACCAGTCCCAACCCAAGCTCCTGCTCCGAGAATTCAGCTCTTCAGCCATGGGCTAGAGCAAGGGAAATCCAGAGAGCCACAAGAACTAAAGTCAGGCCTTGAGGACCAGAAAGACCCCCTACTTGGGCCTGAGATGGGGAGAGAAGCCACAGAACAGCCTAGGGCACCATGAGCAGACACGTTGTACTCTCTCCAGGCCCAGGAGAAATCAAGGACCAAGAAACAGCTCTTCCAGCTGAGCCAGTCTGGAACCTCTCAGCCACTGCATAAGCCAGCCAGAAGCTCAGAGCAAAACCCAGTTTTCCTAAGAAAGGACCCATGGGTCACAGAATGGAATCTGAGAAAGCAGCGGGTTCAGGATACACCCCCACACCCCCAGCAACCCACATAAGACACTGTGTAATACCTTGAAAGGCCTAAGGAGTAGGGTGCCCTGTACAGATGTGTTTGTGTTGAACACATGTGGACAGTCAGGGCTTGTGCTGCTCCTCTGCAGGGATGTGAAGAAGGCATCAAGTGTGTGTGTGTGTGTGTGTGTGTGTGTGTGTGTGTGTGTGTGTGTGTGTGTAAGGCTTCAGCGAAAGTATGGGCATGCAAGTGTGTGTCTGTGTGTATGTATGTGTACATGCATGTGAGTGTGCATGTGTGTGCATGCACGTGAATGAAAATGCGCATAGAACACATGTAGCACCCCACCCCAGTCAGTCAGCTGCTGCTGCAAAAGCATCTCAGGAGGGTAGCTTGTGGGGCCCCAGGACCACTCAGCCCTAGCCAGATTTCAGCGCTCTTGAAAGAGCTCTCACATCCAGTCCTTGAGCAGAAGCTGTGGGAACCCAGCTTCCCTCATGGGAACACTCAAGCCGCAAGTTGTTTCCTGACAGGCACAAATGACTGTCCGGAAGGCAGAGGCACTGAATCGTAACCAAAGGTGACACTTGACAAGGGATAAGAAGCAGGCCCCACTGTTCCTCTCAGCTTCTGTCAGGCCCTGCAAGCCTGGGGACACAGGACGTAGATGATGAAGTCAACCTGTCCTTGCTCTTGGTGACCACAGTACTGTCACAGCACTCCGGGGCAGGTGTCAGCAGCTTCCCCCAAGCGTGGTGATCTCTGGGACAGTTACTGACCCCCAACCCAATCAGTCACAGGCTGCTGTGACTTCCCTTGCAGGCCCTTTGTCCTGTCTCCAGGATCCAACCCCTAGATGACCGAGTCCTACTATGTGCAGCCGGTCCATGTGTAGAAGACACTGGCTTTGAACCAGGAAGACACAGGCCTGGAGAGCGCCTTGGGCACCCCTTCCACATTACCTAACCTGCCTCCCAGTCACCACAGGTCTCCAGCAGTTCTTGCTTCCTGAGACTGCCTGGAGGATGAAAGGGGTGCCAGCCCTCACTGGTGACAACCATCACTCTCATTGTTATTGCCACCAGAGCTCACACCGAGAACCCAGCCTGAACATACCGGGACACAGGGCTTCTCCTGGCTGAGTTCAGAAGCCCAGTCCTCCTCGGTTTCCCTCCCTGGTGCACCCACTAGATTTGTGGACTCTGGGCTGTGCCTCATGCTAGCCCTGCAACGCTGTGGGGCCCAAGCACGTCCCCTGGACTGTGGGTACTTTCAGTGACTGACAGCCTCAGCACCTCCAGAATTCACACTCGCACCACCACAACCTGTAGGCCACCCCCTAAATCGAAGTGTTCAAAGTTTAAATTCAACCTATTTCTTTCCTTTTCTGATGCTGGGGCTGGAGCCCAGGGCCTTGAGTGAGGCAAGGCCCTACTACTGAGATACAGCCCCAAACCCTCAGTATGTTTAAAACCAAGACTCAGAGTAAATACTTTCTTCTGGTTGTCTCATTTTTTTTGTTTTGTTTTGTTTTGTTTTGTAGTTTGACTTTTATCTTCTTTCTTTCTTTCTTTATTTATTTTGACAATGGCACCCTGATTGTCTTCAAAGTCCTTGTGTTGTTGAGGATACCACTGAAGTTCAGCTCCTCCAGCATCTTCTTCCATACGACTGGGATAACAGCTGAGGATGAGCATGCCATGTGATACTCAGGATGGAACCTAGAGTGCCTGCCATGCCAGGCGTACAGCATCGTTCTTCAAGCGCCTTCTCCATGCCTAACCCTGAGCACCTATGGGAGAGATGAATAATCCAACAAGCCTACTGGTCATCTCTGAGCAATTTGTTCCTGCGAGGGAGGGATGGGACCTGAGTAATGGAAAAGCAAGGAGGATGGCCTTGGCCAAGCAAGGACACCCAGCTCTCTGGGCCAGCTTCAGCGGAAGAAGATGGTTGCAAGGACCCTGCCAGCTCCAGCAATGTGGCGGGTAGCTTGTTCAGTCATCTGCAGGAAACAGGTCTGAGTTTTCAATCAGCTTCTGCCATTTATCTATGTGACTTCAGGCAAGCTATTTAACGCCTCTAAGTTACCATTTCCACATCTATAAAATCGCCCTACCTACCCTGGTATCATCCTGAGACTAAGCAAATATAAATCCCTTAACCAACAGCAAGTCCAGCTTAAGTTCTGTTTTTGTTTTTCTCGAGATAGGGTCTCTCTGTGTCTCTCTGAGTTGCTGGCTGTCCTGGAACTCACTTTGTAGACCGGGCTGGTCTTGAACTCAGAGCTCCGATGGTCTCTGCCTCCTGAGTGCACCCCCATGCCCAGCTTTATTATTATTATTATTTTGTTTTTGTCTTTTGTTTTTTCAGGTGAAATTCTGAACAGAAAGAGTCGTGGTCATTTTCAGCACTAGAAGGTTCTCTGGCAT